TATATATATATATATATATATATATATATATATATATATTATTCAGAAAGAACCCAGGCAAAGCACATTTGGGCAAGCAATCAGCACCATCAGCTTCAAACATGCAGGTACTGCAGTTTAATGTAACCTGCTGCAAATCTGTAGAGATCAACATATAATCAGGTAAATGGGCCAGTCTACAGGCCATCTTTCTTAACAGACCGATGAAGAACTCTGCTGCTTTATGAACAGGAAATTCATCTTCAACAAGTACGTAAGAGGATTTATGTTAGCATTTAATCCTAACAAGAGAAGTTAATTAGACTTCAAATGTGTGAACACTTCCCAAAAGAGTTTGGATGTCTGTTCCAACAAAGGGATTTGTCGCTTTATCGTTAATCCAGAATGAAACTGTGGGAAAAGAAAAAAATGTCAGAACAACAGCTTAGTTAAAAAACTGACCTGAAGTTCGCAGGACAGACAAGACACCAAAAATACCTCACTGAGCTAGTGACGCACACGCAACCACCCAAATGGTTCACGTCAACTAAGACCCTGATGGCTTTGAAAATGGGACAAACATGCCAAAAGGCATCATCACGAAACCACATAGTCCCAGTAATGACCTGGGAGCTTTAAAGGACAGCCTGAGTGCGCGCACGGAACAATGGAGAGCAGTTGCAGTAAACGGGCTCATCTAACTGGCATGCATTTGCTGTGGAAGGCGGTTTCCCTCGAGCGTGCTGGTGTTTTCCTGAAACCTCTGAAGTCTTTTTCCCTGAAGTTTGCAGTGTTTCGTGTAGCGCGACACCCCTCCACCCCACCCTGGCTCTCGCTTTCCTCAGTGAATATGATACACGCTGCACTTCCCTCCCTGCCTCTCATCAATAATGAAACAAACAGAAAGGAGAAAACATAGAAATTCATCCAACAGCTGCAACACTGTGAGGAGGAAACAACGATTATCATGCATCTTTATTAAGAGGCTATACCTTACTCTTTCTTTCTATTCTTTGGTTGACATTACAACCAGAGAAACACGATCAGCACCTCTGAAGGCAGCTCACACAGCCAGATCAGAGATGTTACAGACCTCAATTTCGTTTTCAGCTCTAAGACCCTCTGTGGGTTTGATTCCAGGCACAGGCTACTGTAAAGAAAAAGAAAAAAGCAACAAAAAAAAAAAAAAAAAACTCAGCTTATTTCCCAGCTCAGCACTCAAACTGGCATCATTTCACTGGCCAACCTCAATCACACAGAGGCGAATCATTAAAACACCATTACATCGTGTTCATGGTTGGATGTTGGAGACATGCTTGAAAAGCTAGGCTGGAAATAGGGAATAGGGGGGTATAAAACTGAATCTAAATCTATATTAACACTCTGTTTAGGACTATTTTACAGACCAGATGCATGAACTGGCCCATTTATTAGTTACAAATGACTGACACTTAGCCTTAGAACCTTCTAACATATTTGGGGCAAAGAGTCCACATTAGGGGTGGGCATTTATTGCGTTGTTTAACATTATAGTGATAATTTGCTATCATGATAAGAATTCTAGATTCTAAACAACAAATTAGAATCAAGATGAATAAAAACCCTAGAAATTTGGTGAACAGTTAGATTTTTACTTGTACTATGTCTTTTCATTTGGTCAAATTTTAAGAATACAATTAATTGTGGTTATTATGAAATGTTTAGTGATATAAATCATACTTCTTTAAGTAACTGATATCCTGAAAAAACTGAATTTAAATGTGTATATTCTTTAAGAGTATTATTTGTGAATGTAGGGCTATGATAGCAGTCACCGCCATAGAGGAGAAAGACTGTGAAGAAGTAATGGTTTCCTTTAATCATCACTTTTATCATTATTACGATAATATCAACCAATATCGTAATAAGGTTTTAAGTGTATATCGCCCAGCCCTAATTCACAAACTGTGGAAACCATTAATTTGAGAATTTTGAGTGGTTGTCAAGTCAAAATCCATTGCATTTTCAAGCATGTCTGCCACAGACATATTAATAGAGGGCACATTCAGTGTCAGTTTCCTTTTATGTGTTGCATTCTACTCATGTTCAGAATGCTGGTGGGGACGTTTTGATTTACAAGGCCTTTTGTACCACAGACCTGAGTGTGCAGTCACACTGATGTGCACTGTGCACTATATTTTTTCTACATTTTAATTGAACTTTATTGATCTCACATTGGAGAAATTTACCTTTGCATTTAACCCATCCCTTTGGGGAAAAGTGGGCTGCTATTGTGCGGCGCAATCGGGGGTTGAGGGTCTTGCTCAGAGCCCCAAAGTGGCAATCTGTGGGAGTGGGACTTGAATTCAGAACCTCAGGATTCCAAGCGCTATGCCCTAACCACTAGGCTGCCACTCACACTTTACTTTGCGTGCTCGACAACATGTCTGCATGCTTGCTGTGTTGTTTGCTTGCAATCCTTATTCCCCAGTGCTGGATCTGCTCTTTGTCATGTCTTCATAAGTTTTGGCCATGTTGTTTCGGTGTTAACAGTCTATCGGCTCAAAGCCGAAAAAGTTTGGCCCGGAGAGTTTTCCATGGCCGAATTTTCAGTGCATCCCTAATTTTTTTAATATTTTGGCTAATCTTGCACCGTTATCCGATATTTCTATCGCATCGGGACGCCCCTAATCAGAACTTAACCCGCAACTGTAAAAATCTAAACAGCCAAAAGCCCCACAATTTGTGTTAAACAATTGAGCAGCAAATAAAGTGTCTTGGGAATTGGGCTGAAACAATTAAACAGATTAATCATGCTTAATCGATTAATAAAAAAACATCTTTCAGGAACATTTGCCATCCGATTTGAATCAAAAGCATCCAATAGCAATCGATAGCATAGTCGATTATGTTGCCAATTTGACAGATTAATCAATTATCAAAATAATTTTTTCAACCAGCCCTGCTTGAGGAAGTATTTTCTAGTTTAAAACTATTTTAAATGTTTACAATAAATCCTATGAGGGTTTCCAATTGAGGGGATACAAAGGGCAGATGGAAAATATACAGAGATGATTCTAGTGATCCTCTAAGAAATCAAAGGCGGACTTTAGATTTAAACCCAAACCTGACCTCTGAGACCATCAGAGGTGGATTTGACGGGGCTCTCTCCACAACAATAAGTTATATTATGGTACTGAATAAATGCCATGGTGATTAAACAGGAAGCAAACAGTGGGAGACATTTAAAAACCTTCCTTCCAGCCCAGAAACAGCCCACAGACTGATGGCATGTTGGAAGCATAAAGGCGGACACTGAACAAGGAAGAGGAGTTAGAGACAGTTGTTATCCTGTCGTCTCCTCCGGCTCTGCTCCTCGCATAGGAGGAAACATTCCTGCAGCATTGAATCATGGTGGGGGAGTAAGGCTGGCGATGCTTGTTGCAAAAAGACTTGCTTTAAAATTAGCAGCAGATTCTAAGTTTCAAGCTTAATCTCCACCGAATTATGCTTCATGGTGGATTTTAAGGAAATCAGGTCTGATTTTTTTTTTGTCCCACAGACAAGATGTTTTTCAACACCAAGCCTG